GCAAGGCGAATGTCATAAACAAGGCATGAGTCTGTGCAAACACAAAGCACCAAAGCCCTAAAAAAAGGAAGGAAAACGCAAGCGGCTATGGTATTAACAAGGGATGCAAAAGAAAGGACAGAAGGGCTCAGTTTGAGGTAACGTTGAAACTGCTATTACAATCGAGCAGGCTGTCAATCGTAGGCCACAAGAGAGAGAGCACACCAGAGGTGTTAATGCCTAAATTGCCTATGACTATTTTTGGGCGCAATGCTTAATGCCTAAATATGGAAGCCCATCAACAGCGCAACCGGAGAGCATTTGAGTCTTTAGCAAATCGGGACACGATGCAGAAAATTGCGAAATTCATCAAGCGAGATTGGCCTTGCCGCCAGTGTCGGCGCTTTTGACACCTATCCAGTAAGCTCGTTGTCCTCTAACGCTTGCATTCATGTGATCAAAGCCTCGAGGGCCTTCGTCCAATTTCCTCCAAAATTTTATCGCGAGTTTAGTCTTGGCATTACAAGTGTCCCCCCTTCAACAAAGGCTTTAGAGCGACAGGAGAAAGGATTCATTACCACAAATGGTTTTATTTTGGGAGTCATTTGAATCTAAGAAGTTGGTGGCCCATGACCATGAGTAAAAATGCCCCATTTGGCAACCAAGCATGGAAACTTCTCTATTGAATGTAGGACAAGGGCAGTGTTTGAAAAACCGGCCGGTCCGAACCGAAACCGGCTGGTTAGATCGGTACCGACAAGGTACCGACTCCGATTAAGGCCAGTTTTGTGGTAGTAATGAATATTCCGGTCTCTCTAAAACATTTGAGTACAAAAACCAGCTGGTTTATGGTCAAACCGGTGGTTTTCATTCAAAACCGACCGTTATTTGACACAGCGGTATGTAACACCTGAAATAACGTAAAAACGGTATAATCTGAAATAACGGCCGTTATTTGACACAGCGGCGTTATTTGTAACAAAAACCATCAATTGAATTTTGCAGCCTTTTTTTATTCTAATTTTTGACTTTTTTTTGTCTTTTCGATCAATTATTGCACTTATACACCTGAAATTTTCTATAAATAACTGTCTATGGAATCAAAATCAAAGAAAAACGATTTTTTGGTGGATTGAAAATGGCGGATTTCTGAAACTATGAAATTTCCACCAATTTATCAATCTGAGCTTCAATACCCCATGATTATGAATGAAATTGAGGGCTTTGATGAATTGTTGAAGGCTTAAACTTTTCCCTATTTCGATTTGTCGAAAAAGATGAATATTTGAGGTTGATTTCAGCTGAAAGTGAGCAGCATCAAAGAACTGTATTCGATGAAAAAAAGTTGATTTTTGATCCATGCATCGATTGTTTGTTTTCGAATTGATTAGTGAAGTTTGATCATCAAGGCTTCATCAATCGAATACATTAAGTATTTTGATTTCTCATTGAGTAAACTTATTTATATGATTTTTTTTTTTACTGCATTTTTGTTTTGAAAATTTTGTGAAGTGAAATATCCTCCATTTTTTGAAGAACAATCTCAATAGTGAATGGATCTTCATGAAATTTGGGGCATTTGAATCTTAATTGAAGTATCTATCATATCCCCATGTCAATTTGTTCACAAAATGAAAGATTTGGGGTTGATTTTGAATCTAAAGTTTTTTTGTTCTTTGGCTCGATTTTAGGGTTCTAAGAAAAAATTGCTTTCTAATAAAATTATGTTTTGGTTTTATAAAAATATGTTATTTGTGATGAATATGGTAAAAAATATACATATTCTTTCTTTTTAATTTTATATATTTTGGCGAGCTTTTTTAGTGTTTTTAATGTTATATATTTTTTTACAAAAATATGTGTTTTTATGATAAATGTGAGAAAAAAATATATGTTATATATTTTTTTTAGAAAAATATGTGTTTTTATGATAAATGTGAGAAAAAAATATAATGTTATATATTTTTTATGAGCTTGTTGGATTGTTTTTAATGTTATAAATTTTTTCATAAAAAATATGTTTGTTTGTGATGAATATGAGAAAAAAATACATATTCTGTCTTTATAATTTTATATATTTTTAGTGAGCTTGTTGGATTGTTTTCAATGTTTTATTTTTTTTTACTAAAATATTTTTTTTTGTGATGAATATGAAAAAAATATATTTATTTCTTTTTAAAGTTATATATGTTTTATGAGCTTGTTGAATTGTTTTTAATGTCATATATTTTTTTATAAAAATATGGTTTTTTGTGATGAATATGAGAAAAAAAAATTTCTTTCTCTTTAATGTTATATATTTTATGTGAGCTTGTTGGATTGTTTTTAATGTTCTATTTTTTTTACATAAAAATATGTTTTTCATGTTAAAATTGCAATCTTATATAATTTATTTCATCTTAATTCTACATTTTAAGTTGCATGTCTACGAAAGGCACAAATTCTGTGCCAAAACAGGTTAATATCTTGAATATCTTTGTTGCCGAGGTGATTATTTTCTAGTTATGAAGGCTATTTATTGATTCATGGTCATGATAATTTATGAGAATAATCTATCAATGGCCAACTTTGCTTTTCCTTTACATGGATGATCAGTAGTGCTTCATTATTTTTCTCTAACTAGTTATTTATTAATTTTTTTGTTTGTATAATGATTTTATTTTGCTCCTCAATTCCCATCGATTCAAGGTCTCATTACTCCTCATTCCTATAACTGTGCATCATTTTTTTGGCTCCTCAATCCTGTTTTTTTTGTTCATGTAGTGCTGGTTTATGGGATTATTGTGGGTTTTATTGTTTTGATGAAAAATTTGATAACTGACTGTTGGTGTATTTGTTGTCTGTGTTCTCAACTTCTTGTTTGGTTGTGACATTTTATTCTAATTTATTTTTTTATTTGTTATAAGTTATCCATCATTTGTTGCAACTTCATACTCCTGAAATCTGTTTATTAGCTCTACGAAGAAAAGAGGTAGAAACTAAAAAGTATTTTACTCATCTCTCATGTTTCCACCTGCTGAAATGGATAAAAAATTAAC